CGGCAAGAACGTCTTCTCGAGCAGTATTTAACTTCCCTCCTTCCTCTCATTCTTCCTTTCCCGTTTCTGAGCCGCGGCAACGCGTTTCGTACCTACTCTCGAGCGGCATCGCTTCGTAGGAGCTCGTAGATACGGATAATAGGGTTCGTCGAATAGAGAAAAGCTTGTAACGCGAGATAATAGAGAGTAGAGGAGAATTAGGCGTTACCGGAGAACGAAAGTCGTGCGCGTTTCGTTCGTTACGGATCGGAGACGAAATCGAGCGTAATTGAACGAAATCGAACCTTTTCCTATTGTACCGAGTGGCGCCAAATGTTTCGCGACACCGGCGAAACGCGCGACGTTTGTAAGAAACGAATAAAACAAGCAGTTGGCCACCGTTCCGTTCCAACCAGCGATCTCGTCACTTTATTTCCCTTGGTAATCTTTTGTTTGCAGGAGAAACCGCGCGATCTTCGCTCTTCGATCCGCACCATTGTATTCCTTCGTATTTTTCTTTTTTCCAGAGTCCGCCGCGGCGTATTATCGGTTCCACGGACGGACCCAAGACAGTCCTTACAACGGAGCGTCGTCGATACCCTCGAACGTTTCGGGCTTCAAGATACCTCCAAAGTCCGGCAAAGGTTTGGACAGAAAACCGGGATGCTTTCGGTGTCCGAGATGCAGCAAAGGCTACCGTTGGCTCCGAAATATGAGGAATCATTTGAAGATTCAGTGCGGCAAGGATCCGAACGAGTGTTGTCCGTACTGTCCCTATAGAACGAAGTACAAGAGCAGCTTGCAGAGACACATTCGCGGGATTCACTTTGGACGATGATCGGTCTCGGCGTGGAAGCTCCGTTAGTTTACTCGTTACGAAATCGTATCGCGCTGTCAAGACGCGATAGCTTTTTGTACGACTAATAAATTCTCGGTGGAAGCAAAGAAAGTTTGAGACGCGCGACTTCACGGAAGAAACCGAGCCAGCCAAGTTGGCGAGTACGAGTTGTTCCTCGAGGGAAATCCGAAGAGGCGGACGACGGTTATACGCGCGCGAGTTGCCGCGTAATCTCGCGACAGGATTGTGTGAACCGATGATTTACTCGACAATAAAGCTTTCGTTTTCGAAACGAGCAAAACCCTGTATTCCAAGCGCGCTATTCGTTCGGACGTTGATTTTTCAGGTAAGCGTTCTTTTTGGGCCAAACCGATGTCACGGCGGAAACGTAACGTAGTATACGAGAACGAACGTAAGTATAGACTCGTGCACGAAATTCGTAACGAACGTAAAAGTGTGCTAATTGGTAAGAGTCGTTGTTTCTTTTTCTTCGATATTTTCTTTCGTTTTCTTCCATTTTGTCTCTGAAGCTGCTCGACGATAGACGCGCGCGTTTTCTCTTCGAGTAAATCTCTCTCTCTGGTTTTTTACTCGAAGAGCGTCGAGCGCGTAGCTCGAGACGGACTCGCGCGCGCTCTCCGTTCGAGAAAGCAAGGCATGCGCTTCGATGTCTAGAAGCTAGCCAGTGCGTTTGTCTCTTTTTTTTTTTCTGGAATTTTTGGGTTTGCTCTTCGTTCTCTCCTACTTTCCGAATCCCGAGTCGCGAAGCCCGTCTTCTCCTCGAAGGTCGATCGATTCGTGTCCCGTCGTTCGCCGTTGTTCTTTAACCGAATTTTCTTTACAGATGCTCCCCTGTTTCCGATCGTGAGGCCGCGGCTGCACGTTTGTCCGCGATGCGGCCAAATGTACTCTTGGGCGTCGAATCTCCGGAAACACTTGAAGATGGGATGCGGAATGGTCACGTTCGAGACGCACTTCTCCTGCCAATATTGCCCTTACAGATCGAGGATCGAGGCTTCGTTTCTCAAGCATCTGCTCTCGGTGCACAACATCAAGTAGACCTAGAATCGCTGAACGATCCCTCCATCGCGCCGACGCCGACGCCGCCGACGCCTATCAACGTCGTCACACGTCGTTCACGACACCGTGTCTTCGTTCAGCGATATAAACGCGACCGATAACAGGACTGTATTCATTTTTCGACACGTCCGTGTCCGTTTCCGTTGGTTCTCTCGTTGTTCGAGAACGCCGTTCGCGAGAAGAAGGACTATTAAACGGGTAACCGTAAATTATCGAGTCTCGTCGAACCGAATCTAGTCCGAAGGCTGTTTCTTTTCTAACGTTTGTCCGAAGCGTTCTCTGTCGAACGCGAAGAAAAACTTTCGTTTTTACGCATATATCGCCAGCATTTTTCACCGTGTCGACGAAATGATCGAACCAGCGCGATAAAGTCTAGCAACCTACTTGTTTCGCGTCGACCGAAACGATCGCGCAGCGAAGAACGTTCGTTCCTCTGGAAACCGTTTAAATTTTAAACGATACGATCGCGATTCGAAGGTTGCGCGATCGATTCGCGTCGTTCGAACAGGGGTTCGAACGCAGCGACTCGTTTACTTGTTCGAACGCGCGTGGAAAAAAGTGAAGGGTGTGCGTCGCGAACGAAGCTGTCGAGAAATGTACCGTTTCGCGTACAGTTTACCAACCGAATCGGTCTACTCGACATTTTTTTCGCGAACATTTCTCGACGGTTTTCCTTCGATCTCCTCGCCGCGAAGAAAGGAGAAGAGTAAACGGAATATGGTAGGTAGGGGCTAGTGTCCGTTGCCGGTAACCGCGATCGGTTCAAATAGCATCGACGCGTTACGGATCCGATTTCATATGCTTACTCACGCTAATCAAGTAGTGAATGTCAGTCACGTTTCGTCTCATTGTTTGTATAATCTAACGAGCGCGAACGTACTCGTTATCGATAGCTTAGGACGAATAATGTACGAGTCGAGCTTGTCTACGATGCATGACACGATCCTAGTCTATCTTATCCGTTCGATTCGATAGATCCGTAGATCTATTAGGTCGAGCAAGAACGCTGCGCAGTGGTGGTTAAATGTCCCTGTGTAACGATGTCCGGCAGTCGATTGCTTTTTAAATAAATACCTGTGTACAGATTCGAGTTTCTGAACAGATGATTCTTCGAGGAACGTCCCGTTTCGTTTTCGACCCCCGTATCCGGTTCGAGTGAAAGGACGGGAGAAATTTCACGTTGGGAGAATTGACCGACGTAAACGCCGACGTCGACGTTTTGTTTCAGATCGTTCGAGCGTCCAGGGAATCGAGGCGGAGGTGATTCGCGATCGTAGAGGAGGAGGAGGAGGAGGAGGACGGCGGTGCAACGGTGTTCGTCGATCGCGCCACGGAATCACGTCCTCGTTGTACGCGTTGTGCGAATGAGAAATAAATGTGGCGTCTATCGGAGCGATCGCGAAACGAGCTCTTTACTCCCATCCCACTCGACGCCTGTCTGCTCGTTGTTGACGTTTTGTCCGTAACCTCGTCGTCGCTTGGCCGCTTTTCCGCGCGACGATCGATCGATTCCCCGTTCGTTCGCGTCGTACTTTCGCGCTCAAAGGACGGCTGTCAGCGAAGAGAAAGCGGATTTATCCGATCGCGGAGCACGACACGCCAATGACGGATCGAATATTATGTTTCAGGTGAACTGATCCTTTGGGAGGACTATCGAGGATTCGATCCCGCGACGGGGAGCGAAACCGGCGACTTTCGATCGAACAGCTGTTCTTACGGAGCGACTTATTTCGAGTCCGATCGGAAACCCGTCAGAGTGTTCCGAAACAAAAGCACGGATCCGGTGATGGGCAGATACAAGTGTTCCAAGTGTTCGAAATCGTATCGTTGGAAGCACCATTTGGTCGAACACGTAAAGGCGTTTTGCGGGCAGAAGAAGGCCGAGTGCTGTCCGTACTGTAGCTACAGAAGCAATCGAAAATGGAACCTGAAATCCCACATGAAGAGAATTCACGCGGACGTATAAATATCTGTCGACCCTCGTTTCCTTGGTTCTCGAGTTCGCGTTAAACCGTTAAACGTTTCCTATCCTGCCTCGATTCCCAAAAGCCTCTTCTCGACTTCCTTTATCTCGACGGGTGCTACGATTTTATCTCGAACACGAATACCATTGTAAATAAAAATCTGACGCGACGTAAATATATGTATATCGAACGTTGTTGAACGTGTTTGCCCGATGCAACGATTACGTTAAGAGACAAACCTGATCCTCGAAAGGCTGATTCGAAGGTGGAGGAGGAGGAGATGGTCGAGCGGAAGAGCGCGGAAAAGGGGAGAATTTTCTCGTCCGCAGAAATCGAGCCGTCCAGAGCCGTCCAGCGTGGAACGTCTCGCGGCTACGATGTTCCACGATTTGTCCAAGTTTTGGATCGCGTGCGAACCGATCGTGGCCCCCTTTCCGTGGTCGTTCGAACAATTCGCGTAAAAGTGCCCCGTTTCTCTGTCGATGTTCCACTTTGATACCGACTCGTTCCATCTGTCTGCATTTTTCAGAGACGCGGACGATGGGCTACCTGAACTGCCAGCGAGTCACCTATCCGTGCAAGAACTGCGGCAAGGTGTACAATTACTACTCCAGTTTGGCGAGGCATCTGAAGCACGAGTGCGGCGTGGAGCCAAAGTTTCACTGTCCTCTCTGCACTTACAGAACGAAGCACAAGTCCAGTCTGAACACGCATCTGAACGGCAGACACATGAAGCTGTTGAACGACTTGTACGCGACACCGAACGGGAACAAAGTTTCGTCGTCGATGGATGCCGGCAATTAATCGAGTGTAGTTGGTTCGTTCGTTCGCGTTCGAAGGAGAACGACGATGAAAATCGATGAAAATCGATGAAAATCGGAATCGATCGTCGCGCCGGCATATATTTTTTCAACGTTTCGTTCGAACGGGTCGCGCGCAGCAAAGATAGCGTCGAAAATTTCTACTTTCCATAGTTGCTCTATTTTCCGTGAAACTCGACGGGGTGTGTTTGGCTATTCGGAGGATACCGAGTCGAATCGAGTCGCAGCGATCAGCGAACGTCGCTATTGGAAGAACGGAAGCGTCAGCTTCGCGAACAGCGTTCCGTGCCATACGACTAGCGAATCTCTCTCCTCCGTCGCAAACTCGTCGCGTTCATCGAATTTATTAGGTACACTAATAAATTAGGCGGCATTCCTCGATTACCCAGCCATGCTTCCTATCGTTTAGATCTCGTTCGAAAGCTTCGGCCAAAGCAACCAGGTAACGAACATTATACAGAAACGTACCTATATGTATGATACAATAAAAGATGAAACTTTGAAATTCGGTCCTTTCCTCGAAACGCTCGTTTTTCGCGCGCAGCGAAGGCGGTCGAAAAACCGAGCAACCAGTTATTAGGAGACGGAAGGATTCGAGTTGGCGCGATACGCGTGATCGAAGATCGTAACGCGTGCATGCACCGAATAACGCGAGACACGTTCGTTTCGTGTATCGATCCCTCACCCAGTTTCCATGTCCGTATGTTGTCGCGTGCACGACTCGCTCGCACGCCTAGAGCCATCGATTCTCGATCGATCGAGAGACGCTGTCGTTCTTCCGTAACGTCGACGCGTGCTCGACGAAAGGAACGACGACGATCGCGACTCGCTGTTCGGCTAAAACTTAACCGAGCTCTCTCGCTGATTACAGATTACTCGAAAGGCAAGTTCTACATCGGCCAAGTGGCGAAGGATCGAAGAAGATCGCGGGGTCAGGGGCGATTCGCGTGCGACAACTGCGACCGGCGTTATCACGAAATGAAGAATCTGAGAAGGCACATGATTAACGAGTGCGGCAAACAACCGATGCACCAGTGCATCTTTTGCCCGTACAGAGCGACCTATAGGTCGTATCTTCAGGTGCACATGATGAAACACGCCAGGCAAGGATTTACGCCGCGAACAGCGAACGTCAGGCAACACAGGGACTCCTGAGCGACCCGATCACGGACCAAACCTCGCGAAATATCGTTACGGGGATCGAAGTTCGTTCGTTGCTTCGGCTCCCGAGCGCGCAGGCTAACGCGCGGAAGAAACGAGAACAGAGAAAATAGTGACGAAAGGGGAGAGAACGAAAGGAAGAGAGCTATCTATCGTAGGTGCTATTAAGAGAGGTATTCCGAGTACGCGCGCGTTAGCGAGTCCGTCTTTGTGACTTTCGTAAACTGGACGACCAAAGGTGGCACGAATCGAATAAAAGTCTGTCACGTACCGTAACCGAACCACTGTCTCTGTCTCTCGTGCGTTAATCACCCCATTCCGCATAAAACCGCATCCTCGTATCACTCTTGCCTCGTTTTGTCCTTCGTCGGATCGTTCGAGGAGTAAGACCGTACGAGACGAGTCGGCGCGTCGCAACTAAATCGGAACTAAACGAGAGTGTTTCCGCGCGGATTAGGAGCATCTTCGACTAACCGAGATCGTCTCGTGTCTGTTTCAGCGGACTCGAAGTATCCTGGCGCGTCGGTCTTTAAGCACACCTGTACCACCTGCGGTAAAACGTACAAGCACAAGCATCACTTGAAGAGACATCACGATTTCGAGTGCGGCATCGATCCAAAGTTCAAGTGCGCTTTCTGTCCGCACAGGACCAGATACAAGGACAGTTTGATGAAGCACATACTGGCTAGGCATCAGTATCTCCTCGAACACAACTCTCAGTACGGGCCGCAACAGGTGCTCGACGTCCACGGGGAAATGGATGGAAACGCGCGCGTTCAAGGAACCATGTTCGCTTCTTATCACGATTTCCCGCAGAACATATAAAATTTTCTCGACGTTCGCGTCCTAATTTTCGACGTTGTAAACGCACCCGTCGAGCATCGTGTAAATAAAGATCGATCCTGTCTACCTTATACCGGTGAAAATTTTCAATTCGAATCACGTTTGTCCGTTTTCCGTTTTCAGATACGTGAAACGAACGAATCTCGTCGCGGTTCCACGCGAACAAACGTCTCTCATTCGATTTGTTCGTTTTCAGGCAACGAGTACAGCTCGTCGAACTGGACGGTGGCGACTTTGCCGTCAACTTCGCGCGCGGCCACCTACACTAGACGGCTTCGATCCATGACGTCCAAGGACGAACAGGGCAGAGCGCATCGTTTGGGACCAAGAAAGTACGCGTGCATCGATTGCGATCGAACGTTCGCGCTGAAGGCCTCGTTGATCCGTCATCGAACGTTCGAGTGCGACAAGCAACCGGTAGCGGTGGAACGCGATCGTAACGAGAAGACGCTGAGGAAGAAGAAGAAGAAGTACCTTTGCCCCGATTGCGATCGCGTCTACGCCGTCTTCACGTCGCTATGGAGACACCGGAACTACGAATGCGGCGTAGAGCCGAAATTCGTTTGCCCCATTTGCCGCTTTAGATTCACTCAGAAGAGTAATCTCGATCGACACGTTAAGACCAAACATTAGACACTGTCGCGACCGATTTCCAAAGATATCGCGTCGGTCTTTAAGCACACCTGTACCACCTGCGGTAAAACGTACAAGCACAAGCATCACTTGAAGAGACATCACGATTTCGAGTGCGGCATCGATCCAAAGTTCAAGTGCGCTTTCTGTCCGCACAGGACCAGATACAAGGACAGTTTGATGAAGCACATACTGGCTAGGCATCAGTATCTCCTCGAACACAACTCTCAGTACGGGCCGCAACAGGTGCTCGACGTCCACGGGGAAATGGATGGAAACGCGCGCGTTCAAGGAACCATGTTCGCTTCTTATCACGATTTCCCGCAGAACATATAAAATTTTCTCGACGTTCGCGTCCTAATTTTCGACGTTGTAAACGCACCCGTCGAGCATCGTGTAAATAAAGATCGATCCTGTCTACCTTATACCGGTGAAAATTTTCAATTCGAATCACGTTTGTCCGTTTTCCGTTTTCAGATACGTGAAACGAACGAATCTCGTCGCGGTTCCACGCGAACAAACGTCTCTCATTCGATTTGTTCGTTTTCAGGCAACGAGTACAGCTCGTCGAACTGGACGGTGGCGACTTTGCCGTCAACTTCGCGCGCGGCCACCTACACTAGACGGCTTCGATCCATGACGTCCAAGGACGAACAGGGCAGAGCGCATCGTTTGGGACCAAGAAAGTACGCGTGCATCGATTGCGATCGAACGTTCGCGCTGAAGGCCTCGTTGATCCGTCATCGAACGTTCGAGTGCGACAAGCAACCGGTAGCGGTGGAACGCGATCGTAACGAGAAGACGCTGAGGAAGAAGAAGAAGAAGTACCTTTGCCCCGATTGCGATCGCGTCTACGCCGTCTTCACGTCGCTATGGAGACACCGGAACTACGAATGCGGCGTAGAGCCGAAATTCGTTTGCCCCATTTGCCGCTTTAGATTCACTCAGAAGAGTAATCTCGATCGACACGTTAAGACCAAACATTAGACACTGTCGCGACCGATTTCCAAAGATATTCGAACGTTACGTCGCGATTTTATATATTTTTTTTTTTTTTTTTTTTTTTTCACGAAAAGATAAAGAGAGAGAAAGCGAGAGAGAGAGAGAGAGAATGATAAAGCGTCTGTTATCGTCGTCGCTCAAGAAGGTGTCCAAAGATAGCGTAATAACTGTACGAGTCGAATAAATATCTGCGTTTCCCTACCTAATCGATCGAAATCGGTTTTTCTTCGCAGGAAAGTGGCTGGAAAATCGTGTCTCCGTCCGTGACGTTCCAATGTGTTTGTACGTTCCGTGTACGACCACGTCTCGATCGTTTCTCTAACGCACTTTACCGTTTATTTCTAGGATTCGAGTGGAGTCCCGCGTTCGAGAGTAACGTCGCTCGGAAAAAGTCTGTAACCGCGAACGAGTCTCACGTGAGGTGTCCACGATGCGGAAGAAGTTATAAGATGAAGAGAAACTTGACGACTCATATGAAATTCGAGTGCGGCGGGCAGAGGAACTTTACGTGTCATATCTGCCCGGCGAAGTACACGCAAAATATCGGTCTGCGTCGGCATCTTTTGCAAAGGCACAACGTCTATCTTCCGCCAAAGTATACCGTTCCCAAGCGGATTTTCGCCGTGTGACTTTGTCCGGTGAAACGCGTCGATCGATTTTCGGACACGGACGACTCGTCCTATCGTTTCTTCTTCCTTTTCTCCTTTTAAAGCCGTATTTGAACCCGTCTTATTCGCGTTGCTTCGACGACGCTGCGACCAATAGTCGACAGAATCGATTAGGTGTTTCGTTTAGAATGTTAAGTTGAATCGTTGTTGACTCGAATACAGGCGAAATAAAGATCGTACACGATACTCAGAGCTGTTTTTGATTGACCGAGACCGACAGACACGGGAACGCGAGAAAGGTAGTCGGCGACGAGCGTTGCGTCCGCGGAAACACTCTGATCGTCGGTAAATTATGCTTCACCTTTAATTTTCGTTGTTTTGCAGAGCTGATAGCCAGCGGGCAGTGCGTCAGAGACGGATGCTTCGGAAATATGGAAGGGTTCACCTGTCATCGGTGCGGCAGAGCGTATCAAATGAGGCACAATTTGGTGAAACATTTGAGATTCGAGTGCGGCGGGCACAAGCATTTTGCCTGCACTTTGTGTCCGGCGAGATACACGCAGAACGGCAAACTAAGACAGCACATGTTGAACGCGCACAATATTTTTGTTCCCCCGCGAAAGACCAGAATACGATGCGCTTACGGTTGAACGATCGTCCTCGATTTTTCCGCGCTCTTTTTCGAAGGCAACCGAGTATTTTGCTACCAAATATAACGATATCGCTCGACGATTGATGTAACGTTTTTGTGACAGTTCGATGATAGAGTAGCAATAAAATCGTTGGAGAGAAGCTGAGCTGAGTTTCATTGGCGCGGTACGTTGTCGATTCGTAGGAGGGTCATTCGTAGGACGGGCGCAGAAAGCTCGAGCTTTCGCGAGCCGCGAGTTCCGCGGATCGATCCTTCTGACAGAGGCACGAACATTTCTGTTTCAGATTCGCCTCGAAAGAACGGACGCGTTCTTCGCGCGAAGACTTTTGGGCTGGATCGGGAGAGCGCGCTCGATAGAACACGACGGAAGAGAAACGAACTCGAAGAAGCGTGCCTCGATTTTCGAAGACGGCTCACGCGCCATATTCTCCACGCGAAGATACTCGTCCACGAACCGAAGATCTTTTACGTTCCATGTGGAATTTTAATAAACGATCATTTACAATCGTGGCCATCGTTGATTCATTTTTACGTTCATAGATTATTGTCTCGAATATGTCGTTTGAATTCTAACGAATCGTAATCGATAGCTGATTCGGAATCGCGAGACGCGTATTCGTTCGCGTAATCGTCGGTATACGCGTAATTGTTGCGATGCCCGGTTTCGCGATGCTCGTTCGTATCGTCGAGGATGTTTGACAGGAATCTTTTTAACGGAGACGAGGGATTATCGATCGTCGCATTCCGGTAGAACCGTCGTTCGGGAAGACGGACAAGCGCGTTTTCTCGCGATCGATTAGTAAGTTTCGAATTCGAGAGGAGAAACGAACGATTCGTCGACGCGAACCGATCGCGTCCGTACCGATGTTGCCGGTAAAAACTTTCTGACGGCGGTGTTTCTGTTTTCGTTCGACAGGTTTTCTGAGGTCCCGGTTCACCTGTCAGCAGTGCGGCCGAGGGTACACGATGCTGTGCAACCTGAGGAGGCACATGAAGTGGGAATGCGGCGGCAAACGTCAGTTTCCTTGCTACTACTGCAGCTACAGTTTTACGCAGAAGACGAGCCTGCAACGTCATCTGACCGCGATCCATAAGATCGACGTCGTGAACGGGGTGGAACCCAGTCTCATGTTGTAGACGACGCGGACCATTGTCGAATTCGTCGTCTCGCTTCGTTCATCTTCCATCCGTCGTTCTTCCTTCCTTCCGCCCACCCGTACTCGTTCTCCTCCCTTAGGTTAATCTTCTTTTCAGAATAACACCGGGATAAAATGCCGCGAGGCGGGCAGCGATTCCAGGGATCGGGGTAATCGCTTGGAACCCGGGTCCCTCGAATTCTGGACTAACGCGACTATGCTGTTAATGTTCTTTTAGGTGTTGACTCGCCGAGCTTCGCGCGTATCGAGTGCTCGAGCGTTGCCAGGATGCGCTCCGGAGGAGGCGAAATCGAGGCACAGACACAAGAGGTTCGACGCGCGATCCTCGAAAGTTTCTTAACGATCCGGACGGAAGGCATGGGCCAGCGAGAGTTGCCGTAGTTACGTCGCTCGAAGATTACGGGCTTCGTCCACGAAGATATTCGATGATTCGTCTCGCGGACGAGTTACGCCACCGCGAAGAAGATCGAGTCCGGGGTCGCGTCGCGGAAGATCTCGTCCACGAAGATTCGACGTCGGCGAAGACTTCGCGCGAAGACGACGCTTCACGGAAGACGAAATAGAAGCGCGATGAACATTTTCTAAAGTGCCGTATGGACTCTCTGATCGCTCGAGTTTCTCGGTCGTCTCGAGATCGCGTAGATAGTTATTCGATTTTGGCACCTCGTAAAAGGCTTTGTCGATGAAACGCGTTTAACGTAGTTCGATTTCGATGATATATTATCAAAGTTCACGTTAATTCGCTTCCTAGAGCGCCACTTTCGATAGCTAGTTTCGACGTTTAAACTCTTCAGTGTGCCACCGAGTGTGTCTAGTTGCGAATAATAAATATAACAATAAAATTTTACGCATACGACTCGTTACGATGCAGAGAAAACCTGCCAATCTTTACGCACCTTGTTTTTCTAACGAACGTTCGTGCACCGTTCCAGTTAATCTAGTACTTTTTCGTTCCTGCTTCTCGTTTCCGACGCGTTCGAACTAGACATATCGTTTGTTTCCTTTTTTCTTTTTTTTTTAATCATCGGGCCTTCTAATCAGCGTCGACTCGCGTCGAAGATACCGAACCTGCGTACCGTTGCTATATACAAGTACGTATACAACAATTGTTACCGATCCTTCCCTCGACGATCGGCTTTTCGTATTTACGCGAACATCGCGAAAGCGGACGACGATCGTTATCGTTTTTAATCGTTTTCTTGATTTTTTTTTTCATTCTTTTAATTTCACGACAACCCGTACGTTTCCTTTTTCCACGACGTTCGTGTCGATTTGCGCGACGGAAGAACGCGTTCTGTACATAACGATACACGCGGGTTGAAAAGTTTGTCGTTTGTCGCTCGCGACAACGCGGTCTTTTACTCACCTTTTCGTTCCGTTGCTCGTTCTGTCCGTCGACCCACGAACGCGACCGATCTCCCGAATTCTTTTATCTTCCCGTAAAACCTTTCGCGCCTCTTCCCTCCGTAACGTGTGAAATTTGTCTGTTTCTGTTTTGCAGAGAGCAAGCCGGATTACCGAACGTACCTCAAGTGTCTGCCATCGCTGAACCTCGCGAACAACGCCAGCGGTGGCCCGTTCGATCCGCCGGCCATAGGTTGTTCGCCGGATCCGCGGTTGCTCTTTCACGGTTCTTCCACCTGGATCCCGGAGACGGACAAACCTTACATGTGCTCGAGCTGCGGCAAAGGGTACACCCACATTTTCACCCTGAATCGTCATCGTCGAACGGTATGCGGCAAAATAAAAAACACCAGCGGCAAGTGGAAGTGTCCCCGTTGCACGAGATCCTACGTGACCGAAGGGAATCTCGTTCGTCACGTGCGATTCGAGTGCGGGGTCAGAAGAAAGTTTTGTTGCATCTTTTGCAATCGCAAGTTCACGCAACGTTGCAGCCTGATCAGACATCTGAGGAACTTTCACAACGAGAGCTTCGACAGCGCGTCCAGCGCCGTTCCTCAAGAGTATCCGCCGATCGACGCGTGCCACGGGGAATCGAAAAAATCCGAAGACTCCAGAGCATGAACGACGTCGATCGCCGTTTAGATTTTTCTTTTTATTTTCTATTTTCTTTCTCTTGGTCTTTTTTTTCTTTTAGGGAGAACGAATAAAGAGAGAGAGAGAGAGAGAGAGAGAGAGAGAGATCACGTTTCGAACGTATATATCGGTTCCTCCGAGAGGAAGCTTCTAAAGCGTGTACCGGATCTTGACGTTATACGACGAGCCGGACAAAACCGACCAGAGAAACAACGGCAAACGGTTCCTCGAGGAGCTCTCCTCGAAAATTCGCTTCGACGGTCTTGCGAGATCGTCCGAGTTACGCTGATGATTTTTCCCCGCGCGAAACGGATTTCCTTCGAACATCGAAATCGGTCGAGAGTGAACGCGTCTATTCTCGCTCCCTTTGATCGACGAAGTATGTTGCGAGAAATCGTGTGCGTGTATATTTGCAAAAAGGAAAACGGAAAGAATGTTTGTGTGCGTGCGTGCGTTCGAGAAGGTGATCTCCGAGAAAAGATGCAAGTACCTTTTTTCCTCCGTTTCGCGAATACAAGTACTTGCCCAGCGGTTAAGACGTTAACGACACACGGCCTTTCGATTATCGAGAAAACGAAAACACGCGTACACGGTTAATATTTATAAGATGAGATTATAAATGGCACCGAAGCACGAGAAAACGCTTTATCGTTAATGTTGCGAATGGTAAAGGCCGCGAAATTTTTGCGACAATGATGTGCCCTTTTCTTGAAAAGTGTCTTATAGTTAGGATTCGCGCGTACATCGACGATGTAATCGAGTACGAGAAGAAAATACGCTTCGTTGTTCGTTTCGGACACGCTTCGAATTTATCGTTAGGATTAATCGTTCGGCGACGCGTTTCGTACGTTTCCGAAGGTGTTTGGACTCGGTCGAAAAGCAGCGCGAAAATTGTACAAGTTTGTTCGCGCGTAGTCCCGCTGCGTCGAACAACTCGCGAACGGCCGTCACCTTATTTTTCTAAGGTGCATATTTTCACCGGATCCACTTTCATGGTGCTGAATTATTTAAACTACATTTTATCTGTTCGTTTTTGTCATCGTTGCTATTATTGTTCTTATCGCTCTTATCTTATCATTATTCGTACTTTTACTATTATGTTACTATTATTATTATTATTATTATTATTATTACGTCTACTACATTTTGTTTTCTTCGGGAGAAGGGGAAATTCGTTATGCACACCCGGAGGGACTACCACGTGGGCAGAACCTCGACCGGGTAGTATGTAACTCCCCGGTGGTATACTCGCTAAAAGCCCTCAACGTCCGCGGATAGCCCTCGGAGTCGGACCCGCCGAACGATCACAATCAACTCCGGGGCTGCGTTATGGTCGTTTTTTCAGTCGCGTACTATCACATTTACTCTCATTATTATTATTACTACTATTATTATTATTATTATTATTGTTATAGGTTATATTTAGTAGCGTCGCTGTATCGTTGTATTATTCTTATTATTATTCTTCTTATTATTATTATTATTATTATTATTATTATTATTACGAAATTAATCTTTGAAGACTGCGTTATCGAAAGGATTAGGATAATTCGTGTAAAACGGCGATACACTCGAAAACTTATTCGGCAGAATCGAATTCTCGAGAAGCGTAGATTGTAAAAACCGGCGATTCGGAGAGTTGTATCGCGAGGTGAATATTTTTCTTCTTGTTCTTCTTGATGATTCGCATCCGACGATTAATTGGGCTGTGAAAATCATTTCTTTTTCATTCCTCTCGATAACGGTGTATAGCGTAGCTTTAGGTATTTCGAATCGAATCGAATTGTTATCGATAAAAGAAGGGAATTGCACCGAGTCTCGCGTACAAAGAACACGAGCCCGTGGCGACTTTTTTGTTTAAAGAGAAAATTTTGTTGTTGTGTAAGGTGTTACGTGAAAGAAACAATAAATACACAGTTATCGAAGCGACGTTTGGTGTTTTCGGGACGCGAAAGACTGATTTGTCCGGGAGAAAATTGGTATCGTAGTGCGCGCGTCCGTCGATCTCGTCTTTGTCGTTCGTTCGCTCGCTCGCTCGCTCGCTCGCTGGTTCGTTCATTTTTCTCGAGTACTTTATCGAAGGATAAAGCGCGGTTCCGTTCTCGGTCCTCCGCTTTCTGTTCTCTTTTCTTCTATTCTTTCCTTTACCGTTTAGTTTTCCCAGCAAAGTTTCGTACGCATCGACGTTCATTCACCTCGCTTTCCGCTGTTGTTTCAGCCCAAGGTCCGTTTTTTTGCGATCAACTGCCACGCAATCTTTGGAAACGTTGCAAGGACAAGCTTGTCTGTTTGAAGTGCGAAAAGAAGTACAGCGACTGGAGGAGTTTGCGGAAACACATGAATTTTTTTTGCCAAATGGAACCGCTCTATCCTTGCCCTTATTGCGCGCACAGAGCCAGAACATCGACCCTGTTAAAGTATCACGTGGTACGCGAACACACGGCTTTCGCCACGATCGAGGAGGTTCATTAGCGTTCGTTGCGCGGTACGGCACGATACCGCGAACCGTTCGAGCC